GAAGTTTTGGTTGGGTTGGAAAGGAGTGAGATAATTTTGGAATATAGAGCACTTGGTGGAGTTGGAAGGTTAGGGAAGATTGTTCTTTAGTTTTACAAATATTTGAGTGGCAGGTACTGTGCTTAGTCCTGAGAGGTGAACGTGATAGACATGGTCTGCACTCATGAGCTTACTTTTTGGATGTGGAGGTTGGCAAATGTGATAAACATTAAAAAGAAGAAAGGTAGGTGCTCTTAGTACACACAAATAGGACAGAAAGCTACAGTGTGGTGTTTTATCTGATTCAGTAGCTTTCTTAGAAATTTATGAAGTCATTGGACCCTGAAGATGTTGAATTTAACAATTTAATCTTGGCCAATCAGGTGATATTTCTGATAGCTGAAAATGGCTGCACGTATCAGGTATTTAATCAAGCCTGTAGAGGTGGTTTTTTTTTTTTTTTTTTTAACATAGTTTAATAAAACAACCATATGTGGGCCGGGCGTGGTGGCTCACACCTGTAATCCCAACAGTTTGGGAGGCCAAGGTTGGCTGATCACCTGAGGTCAGGAATTTGAGACCAGCCTGGCCAACAGGGTGAAACCCGGTCTCTACTAAAAAAAATACAAAAATTAGCCAAGCATGATGGCAGGCACCTGTAATTCCTTCTCTTGGGAGGCTGAGAAAGGAGAATTGCTTGAACTGGGGAGGTGGAGGTGGCAGTGAGCCGAGATTGTGCCACTGCCCTCCAGCCTGGGCGACAGAGCAAGACTCCATCTCAAAAAAGAAACAAAACAAAACAGCCATGTATGAAAGGATGACTGGTGGATTATTGTTACAAATAGACAATGGCTTCAGGGAGAGAGAACATTGGACTACTGAAGTGCATTGAACTGTAGAAGCAGATCATAGGGGAATGGAAGAATCTTGGTGTTTTGCTTGGTCAAATATGAAGAATTTTGTTCCAATGGAATTGACAAGTCAATGGAAGTTAGACGTTCCTGCAAAGGATCTATAGACAGTATATATTAAATCTGGACCTTCGTTTTTCAATTTTGTAAGATTAAAATTACTAACTTACATAGATATTAGAAACTACTTGCATGCGCTTAACTATGTTAGAGTAAGGTTAAACAAATCTTCAGACTTTTGCTGTTTGAAATCAGAATGAATTTTTGAGAAAGAGTTGAATCTAGTAAGGCAAAAATAATTTTGAATACTATTAGGTGATCAGCCTATGCACGTAATACTAATATTGAGGCACCTTTCTGTGCCATGTGCTGTGTGAGGTGTTATATATGTTTTCTCATTTAATTTTATCCTTAAAGCAGCACTATAAGGTAGGTGGTATTACTATCATTTTACAAACAAGTAAACTAAATCCCTGAGAGGTTAACGTGTTCACGGATACAGAGTGAGTCATTAAGTTAGAACCAGAACCTTGTTGTTCTGATTCCAAAATGAACTTGAGGTTGTCTTTAGTATTTTCCAGCTTCCTAGCACTTTCCCCCTATTTTTCCAGTATGTTGTAGTATAGTGGTTAAGTAGTGACTGTGGGCAAGAGGTTACATTTCTAAGTCAAAGTTTCCTATTCTGTGAAATAGGAATAATGATAATATTCCCCTCTTCCAGTTGTGAGGCATTAAGAGAAAAATTTCATAGACTACCACAATGTCTGGTACTTAGAGAGTTTTAAGTAAGTGTTAGACTGTGTTATTTTCAGATGCCATGACTTTGTTCAGTCCACAGCCTACTCAGAATCCTCTAATTCAGTTTATTTATTTATTTATTTATTTATAGAGACGGAGTCTCACTCTGTCACCCGGGCTGGAGTGCAATGATGTGATCTCGGCTCACTGTAACCTCTACCTCCCAGGTTCAAGTGATTCTCCCGCCTCAACCTCCCAAGTAGCTGGGATTATAGGCACCCACCATCATGCCCAGCTGATTTTTGTATTTTTAGTAGAGATGGGGTTTCACCGTGTTGGCCAGGCTGGTCTTGAACTCCTGACCTCAGGTGATCCGCCTGCCTCAGCCTCCCAAAGTGCTGAGATTATAGGTGTGAGCCAGAGCGCCTGGCCTTCTAATTCAGTTTATCATTAAGGCTTGCCCTTTTTTATGGGGGTTTATTCTTTAAAATTGCTTTTTCTTTTTTTACTCCATCAAAAACTCAGATTCTGACTTTGGCCCCTTCCTTACTTTATTAATTTTCCTTGGGTCATCATGTGCCCTCAACTATTCTTTGTATGCTGGCCGAAACTGCATCTCTACCCTAGACCTTGTATTAGAGCAGGTCCACGTGCTCATTTGCCTTCTAGGTCTGCTCTGCCTCATAGGATAGCCACTAGTCACATGTGGCTATTGAGCTCTTGAACGGTGGCTAGTCTGAATTGTAATGAACTCTAACTACAAAATACACACCAGATTTCTACTTTAGTAAGAAAAAAATATGTAAAATGTTTCATTTATACTTTTTTATATTGATTACATGTTGAAATGATTTTATTTTTGATATATTAAGCTAAAGAATACTGACTATTGAAGTACATTTCACTTATTTCTCTTTTTTAAAAAAATGTGGCTACTAGAAAATTACATATGTGACTTGCATTATATCTCTGTTGGGAAGTGCTGTTCCAGACATCCACCTGTGTATTTTTCAAGTACCTAGAAAACAGTCCCCAACTATACATACTCTCCCCATTTTCTTCTCCCTCCCAAAGTTCTGTTTCTTCTTCTCTCATTTTCCATAGTAAATAGCTCTACTTATGTTTTCAAAGCCAGAAACTTTGGAGTCATCCTTAATTCCTCCTTCCGTGTCCCTCATCTGTCAGTTGCAAAATCCTTTCTTCTCTGCTTTTTAAATATCTCTTACTGTCATATATTTCTTTCAATTCCCACTGTCATTACCTTGGTTGATCTATTTTATGACTTCCAGATTTTTGTCACATTTACCTCTCTTCTGCTCAAGGATATGAAAAGTAGACTTTTTTTTCTATTTTTATAGTACTATTATGGTTTCATTTTAAAAATGTAAATAATTGCTTCACTCATTTATTTTATTGTAAAGTAGGACACCATCTTTTTTTTTTTGAAACGGAGGTTCACTCTGTTGCCTAGGCTGGAGTGCAGTGGTGCAGTCTTGGCTCACTGGGTGCAAGCAGTTCTCCTGCTTCAGTCTCCCAGGTAGCTGGGATTACAGGCATGTACCACCACACCCAGCTAATTTTTGCAATTTTAGTAGAGACAGGGTTTTGCCATATTGGTCAGGCTGGTCTCGAACTCCTGACCTCAAATGATCTGCTCATCTCAGCCTCCCAAAGTGCTGGGATTACAGGTGTCCAAGCCCGGCCCATCTTAATTTAAAAAAATGGCTACCCAGTGTCTTAACACCATTTATTGAAAAGTCTACCTTTACTCCACTGATTTGAAATATTACTGTTATAATTTACCAAATTCCATGTGGGTCTTTTTTCTTTCCTGAATGTTCTCTTCTGTTCCATTTATCTATGTGTTTGTTCGTGTGGTAGTACCATTCTGTTTTATTTCTTTACAGTGTGTTTTGATATTGGGTAGTGGTAATTCTCTGATTATTATTTTTTAAAACTTTTCTCTCTATTCTTCTTGATTGTTTTCATATGAATTGTAGATTCAGCTTGTCTGATTCTCTCCCAAAATCTATTGGTATTTTTATTCATTTTATTTAAATTTATGAATTAGGGAGAATGGACATCTCCCTAAATTAGAGAATGGACATATCTATAATATTGTTTTCCTATCCAAGAATGTGGTCAGAAGGCTGGGCATGGTGATGCATGCCTGTAATCCCAAGCGTGGGATTTGGGAGGCTGAGGCAGGAGGATCATTTGAGCTTAGGAGTTCAAGACCAGCCTTGGGGGTGGAGCAACATGGCAAAACCCTATCTGTACAAAAAATAGAAAGAATTAGCTGGGCATGATGGTGCATGAGGATTGCCTGAGCCTGGGAGTTCGAGGCTACAGTGAGCTGTGATTGAGCCACTGCATTCCAGCCTGGGCGACAGTGCAAGCTGAGACGCTCTCTGAAAAAAAAAAAAGTCAGAATGTTTTTCCATTTGTTCAAGACTTCTGTGTCTCACAATAGTGTCTTGTCACTTACTGTACCTTTAGCTTGTATGTTAAAATTATTTTTAGATGTTAAAAATTTTTTGTTGTTGGTATTGTTAATTGGATCACTTCTATTGTGTCTTTTAATTGGCTGTGGTTTATATTCCATTACCATTTGTCAGGCCCCAATAATTTCTTGCTTGGGTTGTTGTGAAGATTACTAATTGGTTTTTCTTTTTCAATTTCACCACACTCTTGTCATTGATTTTTCTAAAACACAAGATATTTGTCTTTTGCCTTTTGCTGTGTTTAAGTTCTTTAACTCTTTAGAATAAAGGTCAAATGAAGAGTAAAGGTCAAATTCCTTAACATGACATACAAGATTATGATTTTTCCCATAGTGGCATATCCAACCCCATGTGTTTGGTGTCAGTATGAAGTATAGCTCCAGGCCGGGCGCGGTGGTTCACGCCTGTAATCTCAAAACTTTGGGAGGCCGAGGTGGGTGGATCACGAGGTCAGGAGATTGAGACCATCCTGGTTAACACAGTGAAACCCTGTCTCTACTAAAAAAACAAAAAATTAGCCGGGTGTACGGCGGCCGGGCAGCCTGTAGTCCCAGCTACTCAGAGGCTGAGGCAGGAGAATGGCCATGAACCCGTGAGGTGGAGCTCTCAGTGAGCCAACATAGTGCCACTGCACTCCAGCCTGAGCGACAGAGCAAGACTCTGGCTCAAAAAAAAAAAAAAAAAAAAGTACCACACCCCCACCCCGTTGTCTGACTCTTAATTTTTATACTTTGAATAGTCTCATTGTGAATGCATCTTTAGTCTGTATGATTTCTGCAGTCATACCTGCACACACAGGTTCAATGATTGAATTTACAAATTTAAATAAAATTCTTGATTTCACAAATTTGTGGTTTTTTTTTTGTAGTGAGGATGAGGATGATGACCTTTCAGTATGCCGATCATGATTATGAAGTACCACAACAAAAAGGACTGAAGAAGCTCTGGAACAGAGTTAAAATGGACAAGGGATGAGGTTATTATCTGAGCAAAGTTTACTAGTTTCTTACATGTATTTTATGGATTAATATTACTCTATGTTATACAGCCGGGTGTGTGGGGCTCCACGCCTGTAATCCCAGCACTTGGGAGGCCGAGATGGGCGTGCAGTCACTGAGGCAGGAGTTCAAGACCAGCCTGGCCAACGTGATGAAACCCTGTCTCTACTAAAAATACAAAAATTAGCCTGGTGTGGTGGCATGTGTCTGTAATCCTAATCCTACTTGGGAGGCTGAGGCAGGAGGATCGCTTGAACCTGGGAGGCAGAGGGTTGCAGTGAGCCGAGATTACACCACTGCACTCCAGCCTGGGTGACAGAGCGAGACTCCATCTCAAAAACAAAAAAAAACCTACTGTTGTTATGAAAGATTTAAAAACAAAATATGAGAAAAGGTATGCATCAATTAACTGTACATTCTTTTTCTTCAACCAGAGACATGAATAATAGATGACATTGGGACTTACAGAAACAGTATAATAAATGGAGGAATTTGTATTATAGTGGATAGCTTTAGTTATTCTATGGTTACCAGATGCTCCTTAATATAACTGGAGAGTTACCTATATTTAGGGGTAGAGGAAAAGGATGGGGGAAAGCTTTTTAATTTTCGTACTGTTTTAATAGGACGATAAATTAAAGAAATTGGTTGAACAACATGGAACTGATGATTGGACTCTAATTGCTAGTCATCTTCAAGTAAGTGAAATATTAAATTATATTTCTAACATGGCTGGTTTAAGGCATTGGGTTAAATTTGCTATTTTGCAAAAATGTGTCCACGTATTTTAATTTTAGGTTTCCTTCCTAAAAACATTCCTGTTTGTTTGGTCTGCCTATAGTTGGTTGCTAATGGCTTAGAGAGTCTGGTCTTTTAGTAATGTGTTTTATCCAGGGGCCTAAAAAGATTATTAACTTAAAACAAAAATGGTAATAAATTTATGTGGGACCTTATAAATATTTGCTAATACACGTTAAAACATTCTGTGAGAAATATATTGAGATATTTGATAGCTAACCAAAAAATCCAGAAAAGCCCTATTTAAAAAAGCTTATCATCTGAGGCTTACCTTTTAAAATGTTGATTTTAAAAACTATTATGCCTATTGTTTACCATATTACTTACTATTCACCTGCTGTTCATTATATAGCTTTATAATTTATGAAGTATTTTCACATATACTCTTTTTTTTTTTTTTTGAGACGGAGTTTCGCTCTTGTTGCCCAGTCTGGAGAGCAATGGCATGATCTCGGCTCACTGCAGTCTCCGCCTCCCAGGTTCAAGCGATTCTCCTGCCTCAGCCTCCCGAGTAGCTGGGATTATAGGCATACACCACCATGCCCGTCTAATTTTGTTTGTATTTTTTTTTTTTTAGTAGAGATGGGGTTTCTCCATGTTGGTCAGGCTGGTCTCGAACTCCCAACCTCAGGTGATCTGCCCGCCTCGGCCTCCCAAAGTGCTGGGATTACAGGTGTGAGCCACTGTGCCCAGCCCTCACATATACTCTTATTTGTATCCTTAATACACTGTGAGTAGTGAGGGAAAATATACGTATTTGAATTTAAATATTGACTACTTTGGGTTTCATAAACCATGTTAACTATGTTTTTTCTATATTGTCATATGCCTTTCAACATAACCCAGAAATTGAGATCAAGTAATGTGAAAGAGCATCAATTTTGGAGTCAGTTTGAATTGTGTTCAAATGTCAGCTCTATGAGCGTAGAAAAATTACTTAGCCTCTTTGATTGTCACCTTCCTTATCTATAATATCTAGGTAATCATACTCGTTTCTGTAGTATGGTTGTATAGAACTAGAAATAACATATAGGATGTTTGGCACAATTCTTAATTTTTACCAGGTGTACAATAAATGGAAGCTAGGTTAGAAAAGTTATTTACATTAGCATTAACAGAAATGCTACAAGGATATACAGGAGCAACCTGATTATTTTGAAGAAAGTATCAGCCTTAAAATGGATCAGCATTGGTGTACAGAAGCCATAAATGAAGCTGAGTTTGAATAAAAATAATTTTAAGTGCATTGGGCAAAAGAGCCATTGGTAGACAAAACATTTGTATCTGTCCCTTTATATGTTTCTAGATTATCTGTAATCTTATGAACTAACAATTTTGTAAACTGTGAATCACTAATAAAGTGTTAGGTGTCGGTGTCATTATCCTTGTAATATATGGGAGTTACCAGGTTCTGAACTGACTAAAATAAGGCTTCATTTATAATTTTTGGAGTTTGAGATGTTTCTACCCAGATACTGCATAGGTTTTCTTATTCTGGTGGATTCATTTTCTTTTTAAGTATGAACACTTAACCAATTTAATTGAAATGTAACATGCATCTTCTATATAGACTATGTAATGTTTTCTTAATAACTTGGAGTCATAATTTATAACATCCTTTTGATCCCATGAAGTAGTATAGTAAAGCCTTTACGTTTTTTTAAAACTGTATGGTTAGGTACCGCTGAACTACGTGAATCCAGACTGACAGGCTATTTGAGTTCTTTTTCTTTTTTTTTTTTTTTTTTTGACGGGAGTTTCGCTCTTGTTGCCCAGGTTGGAATGCAATGGTGCAATCTTGGCTCACCGCAACCTCCGCCTCCCAGGCTCAAGCGATTCTCCTGCTTCAGCCTCCTGAGTAGCTGGGATGACAGGCATGCACCACCACACCCGGCTAATTTTGTATTTTTAGTAGAGACGGGGTTTCTCCATGTTGGTCAGACTGGTCTTGAACTCCAGACCTCAGGTGATCCACCCGCCTCAGCCTCCCAAAGTGCTGGGATTATAGGCATGAGCCACCGTGCCTGGCCCTATTTGAGTTCTTATGTCAGCTTTGTGTAGTTTTCTGTCCACTGCTTTTTATTCCTCAGCTCTAAATCCATTTCTTTATGGCGGTTATCTGTGTTTTATCTTTGCTGTTTGCTGTATTATAAGGTGTAGTGTAAAGATACACACTTTAGTTTTAAATAAATTGTTTTTTATTTGTAGTCTAAGCCCTGTTGACTACTGTAATTAAGAAAAAACATAGGTCGGGCGCCGTGGCTCATGCCTGTAATCCCAGCACTTTGGGAGGCCGAGGCAGGTGGATCACGAGGTCAGGAGATCAAGACCATCCTGGCTAACACAGTGAAAACCTGTCTTTCCTAAAACTACAAAAAATTAGCCGAGTGTGGTGGCAGGCGCCTGTAGTCCCAGCTACACGGCAGGCTGAGAATGGCATGAACCCGGGAGGCGGAGCTTGCAGTGAGCTGAGATTGCGCCACTGCACTCCAGCCTGGGCGACAGAGTGAGACTCCCTCTAAAAAAAAAAAAAAAAAAAAAAAAAAATTGGGACACAGACATGTAACATAAATGTTACATGTTTAAAGAATGCTGTTGAATACACTATTCTTGAAGTCTTTGTTCTAAGGATGTGAGACATAAATTCGGACTGACTTGCTTTCTGGAAGACAGTTGTTTAATAACAAAATCATCTAAATTTTTTCAGAATCGCTCTGATTTTCAGTGCCAGCATCGATGGCAGAAAGTTTTAAATCCTGAATTGATAAAGGGTCCTTGGACTAAGGAAGAAGATCAGAGGGTAATGTGTTCATACTCTTTATATTCACTATATAGGTAGACTAGTTTTTTTCTTCCTAATGTGTTGTTTTGACATATGAAATATATGTTTAAGTCACTTTGATTTTGTTCTCTGGAGGCTACTTGCATGAAAATTGAATGTTAAGTGTCTTGAAATGTTGTTGGGTTTTTAAAAAATTGAGTCAAACCAAGTATAACATACAGCCCTTTCTTTCTGAGAGTTTGGTTTGCAGAAGGAAAAATACTTGCTGTAAGGTTACTTACCTTGTTTTGAGCTCTATTTCATAACTGTTAGGGTACAGTTTTTTGTCAAAAATCTAATTAACATTTTAAAACAGATTTTCATTTTATTTTTACATCTAATAACTTGATATGCACAGAAGTCATTCTTAACTTTTTCTCTTGACCTATAATGAGCCGTGGATTAGATAGATGTCAGAGCATCATGTTTCCAAAGGTTTTGTGATTTAAAAACCAAGGTCATTGTTTGTGCTATAAAGTCGGAGATGAATAGAAGCTTTTCTGCACTCCACTAGGAATTGTTCTTTAGTTAATGCCTTTTAAGTCATAAAAGTTGCTAATGCAGTTGAGGCATTAGAGCATCCTTACTCCTGCTCAAAACAAACTTTATTTGTTACTCTTATTTTTAAAATTTTTTTAAATAAATAGAGATGGAATCTCGCTATGTTTTCCAGACTGGTCTTGAACTTCTGGGCTCAAGCAATCTGCCCATTTCAGCCACTCAAAATGCTGGGATTAGAGGCTGAGCCATCATGCCCAGCCAGAACAAACTTTAAAGTTACTTCACCTAGACTGCTCTGATTTACTTGATGGCTACTCATAAGTTTTAAAATGTGTGATCTTGTTTAAAAATACATTTACCAAAGCCTTAAATTTTATTTTTTAAAGATAGTAAATAGATATACATACAGTAAAAATATCAACATATATTAAAGTTAGTCTACCAATATAAAATGTTTATGAGGTGATATTTTACATAGGGCAGTGAGGTAAAGTGGGCTGGAATAACTATTCTTGCGATTTTAGGTGAAATAAAAACAACTGTAAAATGTGGAAAAAAGAATATGTAATCTGTGTCCTTTCAGTTTGAGAAAGGAAGAAATGACAGCCCCAATAACTTGGTAGAATCTTTCTGCTTCCAAATTGTTTTTTTGTTTTGTTTTGTTTTTGGCTTTGTGCTGAAGTTTTTTTTTTTTTTTTTTAATAGATGTAAGAGTAGAAAATGCACAAGTTTCAACATGTTTACAGTTATTTCAAGTTAATAGTGTATGAGAGCAATTTAATTTCAAGTGTCTTTAATTAGCCCCTTGGATTTTTAGATGCATTTGGAATCAATTTTTGAAGCTGGCAAATGCTAAAGGGGTATTTATTAGTAATTTTTTTTTTTTTTTTACAAATTGTAGTTGTGGCTTGGATTTAATGCATTTATTTAAAATGGTATTCTTGAATTATGTTTTAAAATTCTTTCAAGGTAATGCTTTTTTAAACTTTGTTTTTCTGTTTCCTAGGTTATTGAATTAGTTCAGAAATATGGACCAAAAAGATGGTCTTTAATTGCAAAACATTTAAAAGGAAGAATAGGCAAGCAGTGTAGAGAAAGATGGCATAATCATCTGAATCCTGAGGTAAAGAAATCTTCCTGGACAGAAGAGGAGGACAGGATCATCTATGAAGCACATAAGCGATTGGGAAATCGTTGGGCAGAAATTGCTAAACTACTTCCAGGAAGGTGCTTATATAAATGTATATATATTTTTCTGTACTTAAACATGACCTTTATTACCTTACTATTAAATACATTTGCAAGTCGCCTATGACTTTTTAAAATTTATAATTAAAATGTAGACTATATTACATAAGCAACCTTTTGGGACCATTTGTACTAAATTCTGTGGTAAAGGGTATGATTGCTTTTTTAATGAATTATTTTATGGCAATAATTTGTACAATAAAATGATAGATTTTAGATTATATAAACCTTTAATACACTTCTAAAATCATGTTGACATATCAGTGCCAATCAAGTGAGTCCCCCTTTGTATAAACTTTGTTGGAACAGAATCTAAATCTAAGATTTCTTTCATATTGCATTCTATGTGTAAGACCAGGGAATAATATGCTAGCTGCAGTAAACTGCTATGGAAGTATGTTGGGGAAAATTCAATCTTAATTAATTATGGTATGATCCAAACCATGGAATTAGTATATATATCCATGTGGCTAAAATACAAAATTTTCCTCAGAGGCAGTGATGTGCTAAGTATACTCTACATTGTACTGATTCATATGTTTTCTAGTAGTGTTTAGTACAGCAGATCAACACCTTGTGAAAATTCATAACTTAGAAGGCATGCATTTGTCTTTTGTTGCTGTAGTCTCTATCTGTATAGTACGTTATAGCATTACGTGCTTTTACATGTATTCTTAATTTTTATAGACTTGGAAAGTATACAGAGCAAACATTGCTATCTTTGTTTTATAGATAAGATATTAAGGCATAGTGTTAAATTTTTTATTCAAGTTATTAAACCAGGTCTAGATACTTTTAATCTCTTGTACATCTTCCTACTTTCCATAGAACCTAGCTTAGTGCCTTAACATTTACTGAAAACCTGCTTTATATGTGTATATTTTATGAGGGATGAAATTTGCACTATAAGTAGCTATAGGTTGAAGATTTACATTTTTATAAAGGGAACCTTAGATAAGAAGGGAGCCAATTAATTCTTTCTTACCATAAATATTTTGTTCTAAGAAGTGAAAATACCAGGATTCTTTAGTTTGTGATTTGCTTTTCATGATCATGTTTGTACCTGGCTTAAGACCTTGGCTCTTGCTATACTCTTTATCTGGAATGCTCTTTTTTTTTTTCCTGTTCTTGTATGGCTGATTTGTTGTAACCAAACCAAAATTACTCTATTATCCACTTTTCTTGTCCTACTTTATTTGCATTGTACTGATTATTTATTTATTTATTTGTTTTTCTATTCCTCCTTCCTTCCCACTTCCACACTTCCAAGGAGAGTGTAAGCTCCATGAGAGCAGTGACCTACTTTGCCTTATTCACTGCAATATTTCTGGTGCTTAGAACTATGCCTGACATATACACATACAGTTTATCTTTTGAATTTAAAAAAAGCACCTATATTCCTGAGTAGAAACTCCAAAAGAAAAATTAAGAAAAAAGTATCTAATTTCATCAGTGTAAAAATTTGTTTTAAGCACTTTGTACAAGTTACACAGTGTTGAAATCTGTGGAATCCTTTTTTCTTTTTAAATTGTACCTTTCCTTTCTTAGGACTGATAATTCTATCAAAAATCATTGGAATTCTACTATGCGAAGAAAAGTGGAACAGGAGGGCTATTTACAAGATGGAATAAAATCAGAACGATCTTCATCTAAACTTCAACACAAACCTTGTGCAGCTATGGATCATATGCAAACCCAGAATCAGTTTTACATACCTGTTCAGGCACATACTTTTAATACCTTTATTATTTTAAAAAATTTCTTAAGTCGCTATATGAGAAGGTGTTTTGTTTCTTAATAGGACAAGTACAATGCATATTAAGGGGTAAATAGAGAAATTGAAAAAAATGTGTAACTTTGATTTATAAGTATTTTGAGAACAGATTTATTAAAATGTTTCCTTTTATATGTAATTTTTACATTAAGAAACTATATACATTTCCTAATACTCTAATTCTTTGAATCTTCATTTATGATTCAAAGATAATGGTCATCTGTACTTTAACATTCTACTGTACTTTCCATTTAAAAAATTTTGGTGTAATTATAGTATTGCTTATCTCTAAGAGGTAGGTATATATAAAATGGCTTAAAGGAGAAAGTAGCAAAAAATAACTTAAGTAATTGTTTTGGGGGGTGTGGTAATTAATTGGCCTTTGCTGACATTCAGCTTTGCTTTTCCCCCTAATAACTAATCACTTGGGTAATTTTAGTCTTTGTTTAGATGATTCATTAAAGTAGATATTACATGAGCTCAAAATGGGGCAAGCTCTATGTTGTCCCTTACAGTGCATTTTTCTACTTGGAAGAAATTAGTGTAGGAGTCTTAATGGGATTTGTTTTACATTTCCTTGTCTACCTGTTATGCCATTTTTCACAATGCGCAATTCTTGGTTCTTGTCACATAAATTGTAAAGATTAAGTCAGGACTTAGTGGTTGTCTACCAAAAGATAAAATTGGGCGAGATATTAAAAATCTGTGCTTTTTATGCCTGAGATTTGATTTTTGACATTTTGTGGACATTAAGTTTTTTAAGCATCATTTTAAAAGAACTACTTAGAGTAATGACATTTTCATTAACAATGGGAAAACAAGTGAAGACAGTATATCTGCTGATACTCAATACCTTAAGGTTTTTATTATGTTTCTTTACATTTTTCTTTAGAGTCTAGATTTCAGCAGCATAAACTGAAACATTCTGCTTCTGTCTTAGAAAAGTTATCATTTAAATTTATTTTTTTAACTTGTAGAAAGATAATACATGGGGCCAACAGAGTATTTAACAGTCTTAATCTAAATATGTTGGAAAGATGAGGATATTTCTTGTACTACAAGAATTGTTTCCTTTTTAATTTAGATATATTCATTATTCAATTAATTTAAACTAATAAGATAATTTTATTATATGTGTGACTTGATAAAAAAATAGATGGGTTTAAAATACTGTCACAGATTTTCATGAAAAGTTTGGGAAAGAAAAGTTTTTAATTCGTTGGAGTTAGCAAGCTGAGCGATAAGTGGTACTAATCGAGTATTCTAAACGTTAAGTTCTATGTTAGAAGTTATACATAATAATTCTGCATTATATAGTGGTTTAGGTAGATCATTATGGAAAGCAGACAATTTCATATTTATATTTTTAAATTTTAAGCCTTTTTTTTTTTTTTTTTTGAGACAGAGTCTCTTTCTGTTGCCACGCTGGAGTGCAGTGGTACGCACACAGCTCACTGAAGCCTCAACCACCTGAGCTCATGTGATCCTCCTGCTTCAGCCTCCTGAGTAGCTGGGACTATAGGCATGCTCCACTACACCCAGCTAATTTTTTAATTTTTTGTAAAGACAGGGTCTTGCCATGTTGCCCAGGCTGGTCTTGGATTCCTGGGCTCAAGCAACCATACTCCCTCAGCCTCCCAAAGTGCTGGAATTACAGGGTTGGGCCACTGCACCCAGCCCCAATTTTAAGGCTTTTAAAAACACCTTCTCTCATATGTCTTCCCACTACTGCCTACTAAATTTATATGTATCTTGAAAATTCTTATTACAGATGTTTTAGGAAAGAAGCAGAATGATACGTAGCCTATCATAAGTATATCTATTAAAAGTATATGAGTGATTCTGATTGTTTTTCTAAGACAAGTAATAGGAGAAGCCTTTCGCATGGAGTGGTGATAAAAGTAGGAGATATGAACATTGAAAACTTGCTTCATTCTCTGTCCTTGTGAGTGCTTCATTCATATGGACACATAGGAACACAATTACTTTGTTTTCTCTAGGAGATAGAGCAACCCTTCTAATAGTAGATGTTTAAATATATATGGGGAATGTCAGATTTAATAAACCGGCTGATAAATCTAGGCTAAGTAATTCTCATATTTCATCTGGGAAAAAAAGTCTTTTCTAAGTGTTATAACTTTTAATCCATAGGTTCTAGGATTGGAGCTGTAGTTATTATTTAATAGATAAGAAAGTATTATAGGTACAAAATTTCAAAATTAATACAGGTACTTTCTAAGTTTTTTATGTTGATACTATTTCAAAAGTTTTTGTCATTTGCTTTAGATTTTAAACATTTATATATCATTATGTGTGTGATAAAATGCATTAATTACTTTTTAGATACCTGGGTATCAGTATGTGTCACCTGAAGGCAATTGTATAGAACATGTTCAGCCTACTTCTGCCTTTATTCAGGTAACTTTTATTTACAACAAAAACCAAAGGAAATGTGTTCAGTCACATTTTAAAAAGCCTAATAGTATCTATTTCCTCATTTATTAAACTAGTATAAAAATAATATGATCTGTCCTACTTGGAGTACTCTAACCTTAAAGAAGAAAGTGTGTAAGTGGGGTTTAAGAAATACAAACCGTACAAGTATAAGATGATTAACGATACCAGTATGGTAGTCCTTTCATTCTTTCAAGGTAAAGCATTCAAGTTGTGAATGGACATATTTTTGCTAAATTGTATAGAATGTATGTATTAAGATTTAAAAATCTAAAATATTCCAAACATACATTTCAGCTGATATAGATGATGCAACATTTTTTTAAGGCATTAAAATTTTCCCAAATCTGTTAAGTTGAAAATATTTACCAGCAGCTCTTTAGATACCAGAGGGATTGTAATAATGAATATCTAGTATTTAGTAGCATTAAGCTTTATTAGAAAAAATATATTTCATGTTGCATAGAAGAAAATAAACATGAGAACACTAATAATAAAGCAATTATGTAAGTAGCCTGTTTTCTCTTTTATTTAACTTATTTTAGCAACCCTTCATTGATGAAGATCCTGATAAGGAAAAGAAAATAAAGGAACTTGAGTTGCTGCTTATGTCAGCTGAGAATGAAGTTAGAAGAAAGCGAATTCCATCAGTAAGAAATAAGCTTAAGTGTTATTTGTATTGTTAGAATCTTTCATATATGCTTTTTGTCATTTTTATCAGCTAGAAAGCATACTCAGTATGACTGCAGATTTTAATATGGAGTAAAAATGGTTTTGTTATTTTTTTCATTTGCAACTTTCAGGTTGCCTGATTTTTTCTTTTTCTTTTTGAGACAGGATCTTGCTCTGTCACCCAGGCAGAAATGCAGTGGTGTAATCACTGATCACTGAAGCCTTGACCTCCTTGGCTCAAATGATGCCCCACCTCAGCCTCTCAAGTAGCTGGGACTACAGGTGCCTGCCACCATGCCTGACAAATTTTTTTTTATTTTTTATTTTTGTAGAGACAGGATTTCACCGTGCTGCTCAGGCTGGTCTCAAACTCCTGGGCTCAAGCGATTCTCCTGCCTTGGCCTCCTAAAGTGCTGGGATTATAGGTGTGAGCCGCTGTGCCTGGCCCAAGGTTGCCTGATTTTGATATACATTTCTTTGAGCATAATTTACAATGTTCTGTGTTAGGATACTTCTTGAGTCATAAATGCAAAGCAGGTGTAAAGTAAACTCTCTCTATATACACACACATATATATTTGTGAAAATTATGTATGTTTAGATTAGGCTTTGGCGTTATTTTAGACATTCCATGTAATGATGGGTTTAATTCTTTTTAAAATAAAGAATCGAATAGATGTAGAGGGATTTATAAGCTCCAAAATTACTTTTATTCTCTTTAAAATTTTTTCCTATTTACTAGATTTAGAATATGAGCTCAGTAAATTAAAGAAAGTAATGACACTAAAAATATATGGGAAAAGGAACATTTAGATTTTATGCTCTCTAAACAATTCTTGTAAAAGAAAAAATTTTATATAGATGTTGGGTGTTGGTTACCCCATGTGAAAACTATTGTGTAAGATTTGGTTGATGAGACTAAGAGTGTTAAATTAGGATCAAAGGTAATTATCCTAGTAGAATTAAGCAGGTTATGCTAGATTGGTTAAAAGAAAGATACAAGTTTATACTTAAATGACTTTTTTTTAGGTTTTTAAATTAAAATTTTAAAATTGGGAAATAATTGTACATTTTCATGGGGTACATAGTGATGTTTCCATACATGTGATGTATATTGACCAGATCATGGTAATTAGCATATCCATCATCTCACATACTTATAATTTCTCTGTCTTGGGAACATTCAATATCTCCCCTTCTAACTATTTGAAACTATTTAATATTGTTAACTATAGTCATCCTACAGTGATATAGAACACTAGAACTTGTTCCTTCTATCTAGCTGTGATTTTGTATTCTTTAACGCATATTTCCCTATCCCTCCCTTCACTCTACCCTTCCTTTAAATAACATTTTTAAAAATTTAAAATAATGCCTTGAGCCTTATAATTTTATTTTTTTTTAGACAGAGTCTCACTCTCATTCAAGCTGGAGTGCAGTGGCGCAATCTTGGCTCTACAAAAAGTTTTTTTTTTTTTATTTTAAATTAGCTAAGTGTGGTGGTGCACAACTGTGGTCCTAACTACCCAGGAGGCTCCTGGGTTCAAGTGATTCTCCTGCCTCAGCCTCCCGAGTAGCTGGGATCACAGGCATGTAACAACATGCCCAGCTAATTAAAAAAATTATTTTAGTAGAGATGGCGTTTCACCCTAGTCTTGAACACCTAACCTCAAGTGATTTGCCCACCTTGGCCTCCCAAAGTACTGGGATTACAGACTTGAGCCACCATTCCTCGCCCCTTTTTACATTTAGAAAAGGGTTTCTTTGTTTTTTGTTTGGGACTAAATGAGAGGACAGAATACTGAGAGTGACTGGGAACTCAGGCAAAATTACTACAAAGATAACCTGAAATCTTGAAATAGTATTATGAGGCAACTGGTGATGTCTTTATACTACTTAAGAGGATATTAATAAAAATGATATTTATTGATTATAATAGGCAAGATATGTATTATAAGAAAAGCAATTTCCGTTTTTTGGTTTTTGAGTCAGGGTCTTGGTCTGTTGCCCAGGCTGGAGTGCAGTGGTACGATCATGGCTCACTGCAGCCTCAGCCTCCTGGGTTTAAGCAGTCCTCCCACCTCAGCTTCCTGGGTAGCTAAGACCACAGGTGTGTGCCACCACACTTGGCTAATTAAAAATACACTTTTTGTAGAGACAGGATTTCCCTATGTTGCAGTTTCTGTTTTGAAACTGCAAAAACCATGAGCAACTAGGAAGACCTGACATATACTTACCTTAAAGTTAATTTGTTTTTGTTAGGAAGCTACAAATAGGCTGGGCTTGGTGGCTTATGCCTGTAATCTCAGGACTTTGAGAAGCTGAGGTGGGAGGGTCACTTAAGCCCAGGAGTTTGAGACCAGCCTTGGCAGGTGAGATCCCACCTCTACAAAAAATTTAAAAAGAATTGGATAGGCGTGGTGACACATGCCTGTGGTTCCAGCTACTCAGGAGGCTGAGGCAGAAGGATCTCTTGAGCCTGAGAGGTCGAGGCTGCAGTCAACAGTTATCACACCCCTGCACTCCAACCTGGGCAACAGAGCAAGACCCCATCTTAAAAATAAATAAATTAATAAATTAACCAGGCATGGTGGCACGTGCCTGTAGTCCCAGCTACTCAAAAGGCTGAGGGAGGAAGATTGCTTAAGCCTAGGGGTTTGAGGCTGCAGTGAGCCATAAACACACCACTCTAATCCAGCCTGGGTGACAGAGTAAGACCCTGTCTCAAAAAAAAAAAAAAAAAAAAACAAAGATTTATGGTGAGAGAATCAACATTTGTAGATGATTATATCATGTTTAAACCATTTTGGATTTTTTAAATAGAATCTTACCCTTTTTTAATTTAACAGGAAAAATATAAGTAAAAGAATGAATATTTTGCATTAAAAAGGAAGAAAGAAAGTTATTTTCTTTTTAGAACTCACTATCTAAAATCCATTCTCATAAAGATTTGGTTGAATAAGCATATTCTGAATTCTAGAGGGAAGTTGCTGCAGCCAGTAGAATAGACTCCATACACATATAAAGCATTTTTTTTCTTTCTTTTTGAGATGGAGTCTTGCACTGTCGCTCGCTGCAACCTCCAACTCCCTGGTGCAAGCGATTCTCCTGCCTCAGCCTCCCGAGTAGCTGACATTACAGGCACGTGCCACCACACCCAGCTAATTTTTGTATTATTAGTAGAAACGGGGTTTCATCATGTTGGCCAGGATGGTCTTGATTTCCTGACCTCATGATCCACCTGCCTCAGCCTCCCAAAGTATTGGGATTACAGGCATGAGCCACCATGCCCTGCCTAACGGTTTTTTTTCTAAACAGTTATATGATAATATTGACTGCCATTTTACTGAGTATCAATTGTGCTCTACTCTTGTGAATGTTTTATATGTATGCTTGGTAATCCTGGTGTTAACACTGTTAAGAGGGTAGAATTTCATTAGAGAGTTCACATTTAAGACTGAATATGGTGACTCACACCTGTAATCCCAACACTTTCGGAGGCTGAGGCGGGCAGATCACTTGAGGCCAGGAGTTGGAGACCAGGCTGGTCAACATGGCAAAACCCCGTCTCTGCAAAAAATACAAAAACCAGGCATGGTGGTGCGCCCCTGTAGTCCCAAGCTACTCGGGAAGCTGAGGTGGGAGGATCACTCGAGCCTGGGAGGTGGAGTTTGCAGTGAGCCGAGATTGGGCCAGGGCATTCCAGCCTGGACGACAGAGCGAGACCCTGTCTCAAAAAAAAAAAGAAAAAAAAACAGAAAAAGAGATTCACATTTAGGTCTGTCTGATTGTAACCTATGGTTTTTTCACTGGGTCCAGTTATCGCCCTCTTTGTGTGTTGGATCTTTTTCTCACCTGCATACTAACTGAAAGGTGTGTGGTTTGGAGGGAACCACATGTTCCCTCCAGCATGACAGGAGAACCATGCTGTCTCCTGAAAGTGATTGTCAAGTCAGAAGGTGGCTATGCTAATGAAATAGGAAATAATGAAATAAGATTAATTTCTTTTATTTTTAAAACAGGTCGAATTTGCTTTGCAACAGTGTTTTATTACCTTATTTAAGTTGAAATGTAACATTTTGTTGTGAATCTCTAGAACATTCTGAAAATTTTTACTTTTAGTAGTATTAGTTACCATTATTCAGTGCTTCCTATAGACTTTCAATGTGCTCTCTACCATATGGTAGTTACTAGCCATATTTAATTTTAAATAAAATTTAAAATTCAGTTTTTTAGTTGCACTAGCCACGTATCAGTTGCTTATATGGGTAGTGGCTCCTATTGAGCAGCTGGAAATACAGAACATTTTCATCATCTCAGAAAGTTCTGTTGAACAGTGCTGCACACTTCACATGTTGTTTCTCATTCATAACTCTTCAAGGCCTCTTTTCTTATTTTTTATTATAAAACACTAGAAAACTAGGCTTGCAAGATAAATTGCCTAGTGTACATTTCTGAAGAGATAAAGAAAAGTGACATAGTCTCTGACTTCAGGTTTTACTCTGCAATGGGAATGTAGACAAGAAACAGGATAGTATATGATAAAATAAGACACAAGGGTTTTTTTTTTGCTTTTATTATTATTTTTAATGGATACATAGTAATTGTACATATTTACTGGGTGTACAGTGTACTATTTTGATACATGTATGCAATGTGTCTTGGTCAAGTCATGGTAATTAGCACATCCATCACCTCAAACATTTATCATTTCTTTGTGTTGGGAACATTTAAACCCTGCTCTTATAGCTATTTAAAAATATATAAAAAGTTGCTGTTAATTATAGTTATCCTATAGTGCTATAGAACACTGGAACTTACTCTTCCTCTCTAGTTGTACTTATATATCCATTAACCAACTTTTGGCTACTCTCCCTTCTCCCCTCCCCTTCCTTGGCTCCCCTTCTTCTCCTCTAGTAGCCACTATTTTTCTCTATACTTCTATGAGCTCTACTTTTTTAGCTTCCACATGTAAGTGA